GCTCACTCACAAATTGTTGCTTTCTCTTAGGCAATGGAGGGTAGTCCTGATCTATCCAAGTATTTGGTAAAACTTGAGTCTTTTGGACAAAATATCGAATATCATTTTCTCGCAAAAAATTTACAGGTAAAAGTTTTTATATACAAAACAAGAACAATAAGATTCTTTTCTTCTTTGTTGATTAAACTTTCAAATTTTTTTTATTGAATCTTGTATTTTGTTTCAATAGCCAATTCCAGATCGAAAGCTGCATTGGAGATCTATTGAAGGCTTTGCAAATAGGTGAACTCAAGAAAATTAGTTTATAATTTCAAAATTCTCTGTTTTTTTTTTTTTTATAATTGAATTCAAGTTGAATCTGTCAAATATTTTTTTTGATAAAAACAGAGGCAGTGTTCGATTTTTCCCTAGAGGTCCTTCCTCGTGCTTAGTAGAGGTTAATAGTATTTTCTCATTTATTTACTACTTTTTTTTTTTTTTTAGGAAATTGTTTTGTAGTTTCATTTTTTCAATATCTTATGTTTTTCAGATTAATTTTTCATTTGAAGTTCCACATGCTTTTGCTCCAGTTGCATTTGTAAGTGTATTCTCCATATACTGGATCATGAATTGTTTCGCAAATTAAATTTGCTAATGTATTTATTTGTCATTTTTTTTGTATGTTTGTTTAAAAAATTTTAGGCAATGAAACCGTTTATGGAGAAGCTTATTCGTGGAGGATTGGAACGTTTTGCTGCCTATGTGAAGACAACAAACAACTAGAAATCAAAAAGGCAGAAATCAAAAATCATTACTAGAAACTTACCCCATTTGCTTTAGCCAAATAAATGATTTTTTAATGTAATCTATACTTTTAAAAATTGGGACGTCCAAATCTGTAATGTTGTTCTTGTTAATTTACTGAAAAAAAGTAAATAGTCTAAAGTTAATATTTTGTGTTTAGAAGATCATAACGATTGTTGTGTGATAAAACTATTTAAGTATTTATCAAAACAATTACTTGTTCTTTAGCAAAAAAAAAAAAGAACAATTACTTGTTAAATTATAATTTGTTTATATGATGAATCAATTATTAATTTTAGAAATATAAACAGATGAAAATAATGTAATCATATTAGGTAATGGGCTTGGCCCACGAGTTATGAGAGAAATGGACTGGTGAGCATTGTTTGAACCGGTTATTGATGTAAATTTGGCTGTAAAATCAAAATAAGAACCAGAAAAAAAAAACTCAAAATTTGGGTTAGAGACTGATAGAAGTTTTACTAAAACTAAAATTTTGATTGAAATATTTGTAGCTATCAAATATAGAATGAAAATATTTGGGTCTAAGAAAACATGTTTATAGTTTTGGCCAACCACAAATTCTATTAAGATTTGAAAGGCCCCTTATTAGAGAGAGAGACTCAAGTCTCAAAGCAATAGAGAAGTGGAAGAAACAGTAAATGGGTGGGGTAAAACTCATGCGGATGCACACAAAGTTGTCTCCCTTTAATCATTTCGAACTTAGCCGACATCTCCACTCTCTTGTTCAGTATATCCAAGTCTTTAAAAGCCAAAAATTCATTAGAGAATACATTCATTTGTAACTGATTTCTACAAACTACATTCATTTGTAACCGATTTCTACATAATACCTTTTTTTTTAACAGTTGTTAGTTACAACAGAAAGTATTTTTTATATATATCAAGTTTTCAATATATATAGAAGTTATTTTATATTTAACTGACAATCTCCATATCAAAACATTTGTTTCAGTATAATTTTAGTGGTTTTGTTTCGACTGAATAGTGTTTTTCGAGTATAAACTTTACAAAAAAAACAAAAATCAAAGTCTTCGAATAACATGTGGTTCATAATGAGGAATAACACAGAATAATTGATAGTATTATAATAATTTTTTAACGGATACTTAGTTTACCGTAAAGTCTCTCAAGTGGGTCAACTAAAAATCTCATAAAAATGTAAAAAAAAAATGGTGGATAAACTAGAAGATGGAGCAAAGTATGGACTATGGAGACAAGCACTGGAAATGAAGCAAAGTGTATATCTACCAAATCCTCTAGATT